TTATTGTTTTTAGCAACTATAATGAATGAAAAATAATTTTATTCTAAGACTAAAGTCCCCTTTGAATAACAGCAGAGTTCAAAAAACATATACATCAGTCTGGCAGGTAGTTATAATACAAATATTTACATAGAATCCTAAGAAAAATGCAATTATATACAAAATATGCTGAGAGAAAAATAAATGTAAAATGACGCTTATCAAGTAACTCTTGCCAAGCAATAATAATTATGTAAAATAAAAATGTTTATAGTTATAAAAATAATTCATAAAATGGAGATAGTTGAGGAGTTCTAAAATGAGGTAACACGAATTTGCTGAAGAAGGTGGCTTCATGGGAGAGAATATATAGATATATGGGTTGAGATCTGGTATTAAGAGGATGGATAGAGGAGCATAGAGTGACGAGTTCTAAGATCTAGGGAGGAGACTTTGATTCTGAGGACTTGGAAAAGAAAAATACTAAGTAGGAATTGCCGTCGGAAAGTAGGATAGAGCCAATTCAACTCGGTGTATATGCAGGAAACATGCGGACGCCTGAGGACCCAAAAGATGAAGCAATTCATAATTCTCTTCAGTCTCTCCTCCAGTCTTGTGGGCAGACCTCCATACACCAAGCAACCGTTGTCGAAGTGGAGGAAAACAAGGGATGTTACAAGGAGCTGTCTGGTGTTTTTCAGAATAGATTCACAGAATCGTAGGAATTTTTCAAGGATAGTTATGGATTTTCGGGTAATCTGGAAAATGTGATTATTCCAAGTTGCTAGTGGTTATTGCACTGATCAAAGATTACTCAAGTATTTTCGACTGTTGGAAAGAAATCCCCTCCCATCCGGTTATTAGGGTAAAGGAAAGCAAGGAAGAGAATTAATGAGATGCTGGGAACCTATGAGGATTGGCACTTTAACAATATTATTATACCATATGCTTTCTTTATGTCATCCTAAAAGCTGCGTATATACTTATCTCATCACATATGTTTTAATTATTCTTTACTGTAATAGGTAGGTCTCTTGGCCAGATTTAATGTTAATTTATATGAACAATATAGTAATTCTTAAGACAATATGTCCCAGAATAAAGTAGATTTTCTATTTCTGTACGGTCTTCTTCCCCAATAATTATATCAAGGTTGCCATTCATAGCTCCAGAAAGATTTCCTATCTTTAAGTTCTGGCTATTATATCACCTCCTGTTCACTCAAGTCACGAAAAATGGCAAATTTTTTTTAGACTGTATTAAAAGATAAATATAACTGAAACTCACAACTTTATACTTTAAAGTTTTAATCCATCGAAAGTGTGCTCTGATGACTATGAGTAATTAAATCACGATAGTAAGAACTTTGCAATATTTTTTTATTATTAAATCTTATTGACCTCGCGCGGGCTCATTACCGCGTATGGGGAGCGTCCCACGGGTGGCGGATGTGGGGATGGTCGGTGGAAATTTCTTGGAAGTTCCTCCCGGCTAAGTCCGATGGACTCGCTGACCAACAATGAGAGGGGCCCTCCAGACTTGCTGGAGGGAGGGGACCTCCAGACTTGCTGGAGGTAGGGGCCCACCAGACTTGCTGGAGGGTGTGACGTAGGATTGAACGCCCTACTCACATATCTTTAGTTCACCAAACACCACAAAAAGTCATGGATCTCCCTAAGGTAAAACGCTCATTATCCGGAGGTAAACTAGTCCCCCGTTCGGGTCTCCGGGTGGGGACTGCTTTAGGGGATTCATGGTGCAAGTTGAAATATAGGGATTTGAATATTGGTACGTGGAACGTAAGGAGTTTAAACACAGCAGGGGGGCTAAAATCGGTCGCGAATGAGGTAAATGGGTACAATTTGGATGTCGTGGCTCTGCAAGAGGTTCGCTGGCCAGGGGAGGGCTCGATGAGGGAAGGAACGTACACTATTTGGTACGGAGGAAGCGGGAATCATTGTTTGGGTACCGGGTTTCTAATTAGGAGTAGGTTACTATCCGCTTTGAGGGACGTACAATTCTTTAGTGATAGAATTTCGGTAGCTACATTTCAGGGACGTTGGTTTAAAATCGCATTAATAAACATACATTGTCCGACCGAAGACAGTGACGATGAAGTCAAAAGTGAATTTTACGATAAACTCGAATGGGTTTATGATAAACTACCACGAAACTACATGAAAATAATTGTAGGTGACGCGAACGCAAAGGTAGGAAGGGAAGAAGTTTATATTCCGACGATTGGTAAAGAAAGTTTGCACGAATATAGTAATGATAATGGGATCCGTCTGATAAACTTTGCCATCTCGAAAAACCTGATAATTAAAAGTACGACGTTTAAACATAAGGATATTCATAAATATACTTGGACATCACCGGATTCGCAAACACGAAATCAAATCGATCATGTCTTGATACAACAGAGCTGGCAAAGCAGTATAATTAATGTACGGTCTTATCGCGGAGCAGAATGTGGGTCGGACCATGAATTAGTAATCGCGAAACTTCGACAAAAACTTAATATAAAAAAGAGAAAAGAAAACCGTTTCGATTTTGAGAATTTTAATTTGGAAAAATTAAAAAATCCATCAATTAGAAACCAATTCGAGCTAGATGTTAAGAATAGGTTTGAAGCTTTAGAGCTTCCTGACGAGGACCACGAGGATATTGACAAGTTATGGATAGAGATCAGAGATAATATTAAAGCGGTCGGTAACTCGTGTCTAGGAAAAAAGGAAAATAAGAATAACAAACCGTGGTTTGATGAAGATTGCTTAAACATGTGTGAAAAAGAAAAGCCGCTAAATTAAAAGCTCTAAATAATCCTAGCGAAGACAATCTGGAATACTTCCGAATCTCAAAGAACGAAACGACAAAATTGCTCAAAAATAAAAAAAGGGAGTATCTTAAAAATAAAATAATTGAAATAGAAACTAATAGAATCGAAAATAACGTAAGAGACATGTACAAAGGTATAAACAGATCACGTAAATATGTAGGGCCCGTAACGTCTGGAATTAGGGATGATAATAACAATATTCTGACCGATCCGGCTGACATATTGAATAAGTTTAAGGACCACTTTGACAATATTTTAAATACGGGAAATTATGATCTGTGTCCTCCTTCTGAGTACCAGAGTGCTGAACCGTTAATAGAAGGACCAAGTAAAGAGGAAGTTGAGGTAGCTATCGGAAAATTAAAATCATATAAAGCAGCGGGAATCGATAATATTCCTACTGAACTAATTAAGGCATGCGGAGAAGCTGGAGTTTCTAAAATACATCGGTTGGTTAAAAAGATCTGGGTGAACGAGAAATTACCTGAAGAATGGAAAGAATCTATTCTTATTCCGATTCACAAAAAGGGTCCGAGGACGGATTGTAATAACTATCGAGGAATTTCACTCCTTCCGGTATGTTATAAAATATTCACTTTAATCTTAACCAGTCGAATCACGGAATACGCCGAGGAAATTATCGGAGACTACCAATGCGGATTTAGACGGAATCGCTCGACTATTGATCAAATATTTTCTTTACGGCAAATATTAGAGAAAAAATTGGAGTATGACGGTATTGTTCACCAGCTGTATATAGATTTTAAAAAGGCTTACGATTCTATTGACCGCCAGAAACTGTATAATATTCTAATCGAGCAGGGGATTCCAAAAAAACTAGTAAATCTAGTCAGGATGTGCTTGACGGAGACACTCAATAAAGTTAGAATCGGTAATAATTTGTCCGAAAAATTTGAGGTTCGTTCGGGCTTAAAACAGGGGGATTCTCTTTCGCCTGCCCTGTTCAATTTGGCATTAGAACATGCCATTAGGGAGGTAATGCGAACCGAGAAAGGGTTGGATCTGGGCGGGACAACACCCGTGCTGGGCTATGCTGATGATCTGGTACTGTTAAGCGAAGACGTTGAAACTATAAAACTAAATACGACAACGTTAATGAAAGCCGGGAAAGAACTAGGACTCGAAATAAACGTGGATAAAACAAAATATATGGTTAGCTGCAAAAATGGCGATACTACTGGTGATATCGATATAGATGGTAATATGTTTGAACAGGTAGATAAATTTAGGTATCTAGGTTCTACGATAACTAGAAAAAACGAAATTGAAGAAGAGATTAAGGTTAGACTGAAGGCGGGGAATGCTTGTTATTTTTCTGTGACAAAACTACTTAGTTCGCGCCTCTTGTCCCGAAACTTAAAAATTAGAATCTATAAAACAATTATCTTACCTACAGTTCTTTATGGATGCGAAACTTGGCCGCTTACATTAAGGGATGAGCAGCGTCTTAAGGTTTTTGAAAATAAAGTATTGCGTAGAATATTCGGACCGAAAAAAGGACGAGTTAACCGGAGAGTTCAGACGGTTACACAACGCCGAATTGCGTGAGATGTATCCGGGTAATATAATTGAGGTAATTTCATCGCGGCGAATCAAATGGGCTTGTAAAGTTGTTGGGCTTAGTAACGAGAGAATTCCTAAAAGGTTAATATTTGCTGTGCCGAATGGTAAGCGTCCGAGGGGTAGACCGAAGCGAAGATGGGAAGATTGCATTAAAGCCGATCTGAAGGGACTGGGTTTGGACGGCGAATGGTGGAGGGAGGTGTGTAACAAGCGATTGGTGGTGTCGGCATCGAACCTTCGGGTTCGCTAAGCCTTATTATTATTATTATTATTATTATAAATCTTATTGAACCTTCCCTATCACTATTATAATTTCAGTATGTAAAATTATAATTTTATTGTTTATGTTGTTTCCTAACAAATAAGGAAAATATATTCTGTGACTAGTTACCCTGAGAATAAAAATTGTGTACCAATAAAACAGAAAACAAACCTGGAAAAATATTATATTAATAAAAATTAACCAAAATATACTCTAATATTAGTAAAACAAATTCAAGCAATATAAATAATAAATGATGGATATAATAGTAGTTTATAGACTACAGTGCTAACACTACCTAAAATTAATATAAAAAACGGTTGTTCTCAACACCCAATGCTAGCTTATTTAAGAAGAACATCAGATATCTTGGCCGTTTCCTTACGCGATCAACATCGACCGATCCGGATGGCACTTCCTACAGCCCGCTCTTCGTCGTTACCGCGGGCCCGGTGGTGCACCGCCTGCAAGCCTTCTGTTGAAGAAGAGTCAGACAAAAGGTGTTCCAGAAAACACCGGCCCTTATTAGCAAGATGTTAACTCCATGTCCAGAGGACTTGGGCAAGGTGGTTCGGCATCTGCCCTCACATCTGCCTCACCTTACTTCCTCATCCGGTGACCTGCCGTACGCCGATATATGTCCACAACTGCGTCTTCCGAGTCAGCGGAAGGAAGCGACGCACCGCAACTTTGCGGGATAGCTGTCCAGGGACTGCGAGGGGTTGCGCGGCGTCAGGGTCAGCGTCAACAGGGATCTGGTTTTTCAACTGACGAATGAACTTCCAAGATCTACTTCATAAGTGAACGTTATAATTATGAATTATATGTATGATACACGATTATTATCAATAGATTATTTGATATATTTAGGAACTTATTTAAATACAGAATCCATCAATAGCCATTTTGTCCACATTTTCCAATGACAGTTAGTCTGAATACTGAAGCATTATAAAAATGAGAAGAATAAAATAATGATATTAATAATAAAAAATTAAAATAAATAAATTATCAAAAAATCAGTCACAGCTCAAAGTTAGTCGATTTATTATATATTAAATCATATTTTCAATAGTATTTCTCAATGGGCATAGATTATCATAAAAATCCATACTGTGCTTATATATGGTGTCTTCAAGACCTGTACTACTAACAACCCATGAAGGGTCTTGTGTTCAGTACAATGTGTGGAAGCACTGTTACTAAGATGTGCAGGGTGGTGATCGGGTCGAAATCACGTTCAACCGAATGGTTTTCCGCCTTAATTGATTATTTAATTGAGAGTACACACTAATGGGCTTATACTATCAGAAACATTCATATTGTACTTATATATGGTATCTTCAAGGATAGATAAGCACTTATAATTTTACTATTTATTTAACCTATAACAACGTTTCGAAAAATTCTATAAATTCCAGCACAATTCCTCCATATAGTTCTATTATAATTCATTTTTAGTCCAAAATATAAAAAATACCATGTCAAGTCCGGGTACTGTTTATTCTTTAATATGAACTTCCATGGAGTCCACAAATCCAAAAAGTAAATTAATATCCATATTTGACTATTAATTTTTAATATTTGACATTTTGATAGCTGGCGAGGAAAAGGCCCATTTTGGTTTCACCTAATGCTAAAGAAAATCATTTTTCAGTTGGCTACAAGTCCTATTGAATCTGAAATTCTTGAAACTGGACCTTACATAAATCTGTGCTCATGCCTAATATATATCTGATACATACACACACTCATATATATGTGGGGGAGAAAAAGAGAGAGAGAGAGAATGAGAGAGAGAGAGAGAGAGAGAGAGAGAGAGAGAGAGAGAGAGAGAGAGAGAGAGAGAGAGAGAGAGAGAGAGAGAGAGAGAGAGAGAGAGAGAGAGAGAGAGAGAGAGAGAGAGTGAGAGAGAGAGAGAGAGAGAGAGATATTTATAAGATAGGCTAAAAAAAAAATTAAATCGATAAAATTTTAATTAGCTTTATAATTGACGAAACTACTTGAGAGAAGTGGACTCTTGAACAGAAGTATCTATGAGATCTTATTTGGTACGTGTGTCAGTATAAATGATGGATTTTCGTTAAAATATTTTTTAATTTTAAATGCCATTATGTAATATTGGACTTACTGAATAAAAATTAAAACAATTGGGTTGGATCTTGAAAATTAAAAAAATAGTAATAATTAAAGGTTTTTCAACTAATTTATTCATGCTTTGGGAGAAAGTATTGAACGTTTCAATTTCATCAGAGTAATAAACAATATCCTTATGCATAGTTATTACGAATGTACTCCAAAAGTTTTGTTATAATTTAAATACTTAACAAGAAATGAATATCGAAACATTACAAGCGAAAAGATACAATTTGTGTTTTGTTTCTGTTTTTTTAAAACTTAAATCTTTTGGTAAATGGTACATGGTATTTTCACATTCAGGTGTCATTTTAATTTTACTTAAATATAATAATAAATTCTTCTATTCTAGTAAACTTTTTTCATTTCTTTATGACATTTACAACTGTATTACATAAATACATCAAGTAAATTTGGACATAATTGATATAATGACATGAATACACTTGCTGAGTAACTACCCAATGGTAGCACTCTAATGATATGACTACATTAGGAGATCACGGGGCCATCTTCTTTTCAGACGCCTCGGAGGATTATCAGGAATTGAAGAGGAAGCAAGGTTAGAAACGAGAGGGTTGGGATGATTCTGAAGTTTATTATGGAAGGATAGGTATCTGGATTGGGCCAGATCTGAAACATTAGGAACATTAAGATCTTTATGGATAATTTTATTAGTGACAAAGTAAGGAGCATTGAGGATTTTACGAAGGATTTTGGATTGTAAGGATTGGATGCGAGAGGAATTCGATGGTTTAGTGGAGCCCCATAGCTCAACTCCGTAAGTCCAAATAGGTCTTATTATAGTCAAGTATATGAGTCTTTTGTAATTAATGGGAAGTTTAGAGCGTTTGTCTAGTAAGTGCTGAAGTAATCGGAAACGTCGAGAGGTTTCTTGTCGTTTCAGTCCAGTATGAGGATTCCAAGTTAGCCGTTTGTCCAGGTGGAGTCCTAGGTATCGGATTTGCTCAACAGGGATAAGTGGAGTATTGTTAAAGGAAACTGTAGGACAGGAAGTCGTTGGTTTACGACGAAGGGTAAAGGTAATTTGGTGGGATTTATTGGAGTTTACTTTAATTCTCCAGTTTTGACACCATTCTTCTAGATTTATGATGTGTGATTGAAGCATTTGGGATGCAATTGCTGGGTCATTGTTTACTGATAGGATACATGTGTCATCGGCATATGTGGTGATGACAGTGTTGGGACAGGTAGGGATGTCAGCTGTATAAACTGTATAGAGGATAGGACCTAGGATACTACGTTGAGGAACACCAGCGGACTCGGAAAAAAGGGATGAATAGGCGTTATTGTGATTTACTTTAAAGTATCTATCAGTAAGGTAGGAACGGATAATGAGGAAGTATGTAGGTGGTAAGAATTTTCGGAGTTTGTACAGCAGTCCCGGGTCTAGTAAACCTAAAAAAGGAATATATCACCTAGTCCAACTAAAAACTATTTTAATCATGGTAAATCTCATACCACTATTCATTTTTTTATGAAAGTCATTCAGAGCTGAAGTGGTTTCTAAATATCTTGTTCTCCTCTTCTTCTTATATGGCACCGTGTAGGGGAAATAAAGCCCCATGCAGCTTTGACCTCCAGTAATCCCTGTTCCGTGCAGCCACCTTCTAGTTTCAGACACCAAGCATGGATTAGGCATCCGCAGCCAAGCCATTCATCCTCCACAACCGTGGTCTTTCTCGCCATCTTTTGCCAAATATTTCTTCTATTAGCATGTTTTCTGGGACATGATCCTCAGGCATGCTAATGACATGCCCAGCCCATCGGAAAGCCTGTATGCAGGTCTCCAGTTATCTGCATACAGCTCTATTGCGTCTTCGTTGATCCGATCTATCCATCTGGCTTTTGGCATTCCACGTTGTCTTTTGACTGCTTTTGAGGCATTCGTTGCTGTATCGAGGCTTCCTGATGGATTACTCCAAGCTACATTCCATACTCATCTTAACCATCTTTGTTTCTTACAATGAGAATTGACCAGTAAATTTGTGATTAAAAGAAGAAAGCAAGAAAAAGGTAAGGAAAAAAGTTAAATGACAATGGTGGAAAAAATACTTTAGACCTCTTCAATTATTCATAATTGTTTTTTTTCCTTATGGGCATTATGATTCAACTGCTTATCGAAATGTATTTTTATTACAAAAAATACGATATTTGCATTACTAATAATCTTATCATATCACCTTAATGAAAAAAAATATATACAATTTTATATTTTTACCGAGCTGTTCAACTCCCTTTTATTTGTATATGAGTTACCGTATAACTAACAGTCTGTGGATCACCGATTTCAACCAAATTTTTTTTGGTGAAGCTACAGGTTGAATTTTTTTATTTAGATAAAATTTCGTATTTAATAGTTTTAAAGGGCCCTAAATACGAATTTATTCTGCTTTTTCATAACAAAAACTTCTTGGCCTACTTTAGTGGAAGGACCTTTTGCTTTCTAATAATACCTTTTTCTTATTTTACACAAAAACAAACAACTACAAAACGATTGATACATAACAACCTTATGGCTTCTAAACCTTATACTCATGACTTCTAACTATACTTCCTAGAGATTAAATGATTTAAAAAGAAATCTACTTACTCTCTTGTGGGTCGAAGAAAATAGTTTACTCTATTAAATTTATTTTTTATTTTAATTATTCTGCAGTTAGATTTACATAAGTTATGTACACTTTGACGTTATGAGGAATGATAGCCTTACTTTTTTCAGTGCTGTTCTGTTTCTATAACGTTGTAAATAGATGGATTTAGTATTTTTAATATTATTTAATAGCACTCAAATAACTAAATAATTAATGGAATTGATCCTATTCCAGTAATCTCTTCGAACAGCCCTGATGAAGTCCTGAACTTCAGGTCGAAACGTCAGAATAAATATTTTTATTTATTTTTGGCTGATCACCCCAACAATCGTTCTCTTCATTATTCACGAGAGTCAACCATCAACCCACAATTATTTAATAGCACGAAGGAAATATGGAACACAGAAATTTTCAACAAAAACTGAATTCAATTAAGGAATAATCGATTATGTAATATTCATCTGATATTGTGCTATCAGATTGTTCATAGAAAATAATCATATACAATATTCCCTCTTAGGGGTACCGTGGGATAGCTAGTATAATAAACAGTATACACACAAGCCAGGACGACATATGCACGCCAGGGTTCGGCAAGGTGTTGACTGGCCTGGTCCATCTGTCAATACTCCACTATTAGTCTATTGTGAAGCGCTCGGCTAAAAAATACCAACGGTCTATTGGAACAAATAACTAAAATATTATATCTCACTAGTTGGTCAGGGCGAATAATTCGCATAACATATTGGTCAGTAAAATAATGGCAATATTATAATAAATGTAATTTGTTTATTTCTTGGAGTAATTAATCTATCTTTTTATATATAACACGATATTTTTTCGTAGATGCCTCTTTCGGTATTCTGCAGATACGATGGATTTAACGAATGAGATATCAAACGAAAGAGGATTTCATAGAGAAATGGAGAATTATAGTCAAATCCTCCCGTAATTTCATCAAATAAGCTATAAAGGAAAACAATTAATTTACTTGCGAATAACTCAAAAAGTATAAATTTTTGTTGGTCGTACCAATGACTATTTGGAAGATCACTGAATAACCTATGAAACAAAAACAAAAAAATCATCGAAGATAGACGATTATTAACAGCGATACAAACCACTAGCGGACCCAGGATTTAATTTTGGGGGGAGAGGCTTCAGCCCGAAAGCTTTTTCTTTTTTCCTAAAGGAAGAAAATAACTACTATACATGGTGTTCAAGTGATTCTTGAAGTCCTTTAAAATGTAATTATACGAACAATAATACTTAAAGAGATCATTTAAAAAAAAATAAATGACCGTATATATAACGTGGTTATATTTTACTCTTTTTTTTGGGGGGGAGGGGGCTTACGCGCGGAAGCCTATCTGGAATTAGAATGAATATTATCCTTTCTCTTATCATCTACTCTCAAATTTGAGTTCTCGCAATCGATAGAAATAATTGAGAACTATTGGACTCCCTATTTCTTTTTTGTAAATTAGGTGGCACGTCTCTTGCCCAGCGATTGCTTTTTATTAATTAACATCATATATATATATATATATATATATATATATATATATATATATATATATATATATATGAAATTTTACGTTTAAAATAAAAAAAATACTGATTGCTTAAATTATTTTCATGAGAAAGTGACTATTAGTGCTAGAAACGTTAAGTTTTTCACTTATAAATACACATCAATTCCGACGAAGGAGATCTGAGACAAAAACACAACTTCATAGCCACTTTACGTGAAAAATCATGATTTTTAACTTTTTTATATTTATAAGTAACATGTGTTTATAGGCAATTATGTTCATTACAATGCATTCATTCCATAACTCTGGAAAACAAGAAATAAGAGCTGTGCAACAGTCAATTGTAGCCAATTTTGAAGAATACACGGGTACTTTAAAGTGACTAGATAGGAAATCAGATCACATGACTTGATGTAAATTTAACAAACCGCAACTTTATTAATATAGACTTAAAGCTTCATAAACGAGGAAGTTTTTGTAAAACTGGGCTAATTGTAGTACCATTGAAGGGTGAGAAAAAAAATCACATATAATTTATGACTTTTTTTAAACGGAACTTAGCTGTGTTTTGCCACTCAAAAGTCCAAATAGTTTTAACAATGACTAACTCTACTGTTATTTAAAGTAAATTTTTTCTAGTTTACGATGAAGCAATGTTTAAGTACTTAAATAAAATATTTTTTAAGTTATCGCTTCCTATTCAACAAAAAACGTGACCCGCTTAAAAAAACATAAATCTTAAATTTCCTACTTTCCTACTGGAAATTGGACAATTAATTAGATGCACTTTTTTTGTAGATTTTGATGTCTACTATCAACTTTTTAAATATTCCCCTTTACTTACGGGTTACCCTCTATACACACCCATAGATAAGACAGAATAAAGTTATTTTCTGTCTATCTATATTTAACCAACGAATTATTATATTTATCAACAACATACAAACTTCCAACCATGCCATTATATATTCAATATATTAATCATATTCAACCATACCATGCCTTATAATACATAATATATACCAGTTTAATTATCCTGGATCAATTACAGAAGACAAATTAAGGGATGGAGTTTGTTCTGGTTTGGCTGACAATTATTCGTTGTTTGGCATGTAATTTATGAGCAGTGATTTGGTCTCATTAAGTTTTTCCATGTACCTTCTTATTACTAATCTGTAAGGAAACATATGATCGGTTTTCGCGAATGCTATTAGCTCCCAGACTCTTGAGATCGAATTCTCCCCGAGGCATTATACGTTAATTAAGTTAAGAGCCGGTTAGTTAGCCTTAAAGACTATTCCTTTCATTAGCATGCTCTCTAATGCCCGCTGCGATCGGGAGGTCCTCCCGTCATTAAAGTCACTTTAATCTCATTTGACAACTTTAATTTACGGGGTAATAAATTTCTGTTAATTGGCTAGACCATTTGAGGAAATGGGATCCTCTTGATTCTTATTCCGATTTGGGCATGCCTTGTTCAGGTTGTATTTTCTGTTCATTACAAGAAGTCTGGAAAGGTTTTGTTAATACAACCAAAAAATAAAAGATTTTTTTTATTTTATCCGTTGTTTTAATTGAGATTTCTTTATTCTCAGAATAGCTGTGACAATTTCTCCGAAGCTTAGAGTTAGCTTTCATCGTGCAAGTAATTACTAGCATTATTTAAGTAATGAAAACCGTGCGAAAAGCTACATTTTTTGTTTTTATGGAACAGTACTCGTCTAGCTAATAGTGACAATATAATAACGTCTAATCCACCAAAAAAAAAAATAATAATAATAACAAAGCTGAATATTTCATATAGATGAGAACCTCTCCATATTAGAAGTAATAGTAATTGTTCGAAGTTTACCATTTTTTTAAATTTATTTTTTGGAATAAAAATACGATCTGCAATACCTATGGGCAATAAGTATCAGTTCTAAAGAAATCCATTCATACAATATATATATACAGTAAGAAAAAATAAATAATTAAGCACAAAGTAAAAAATAATATTAATAAATAACTTAGTAAAATGAACAAACAATTACATAAAATAGTAATAAACAAAGTATAATGGTGAGGATAAAATATTATTAGAACTTCACTGATAAAAATATACATGTATAGAAATAACTAATAATAACAAAAAGTAAAATAAAGTTGAATACATCGTGTATATATATATGTGAGAATAAGAAAAAAAACTGTTATTGATATCTCATCAAGCCATACAAAGCATACTAAATGAAACAGGTGAAGAAGGTTAAATAAAACACAGCTGATTCGCAGAGATACAGGAAAAAATTAATAAAAAAGATACATAAATAAAAACATCATTTTTTGGGATATGTATATTTTATACAGCTTCGAGCTTTTTTTATTTATAAATGTATTCTTAGTTAATTGTTTTAACACATTTCTGTAATATTATATTTAAAGTATGAGTATTTATTTATTTTTGCTATATTGTTTTTTTCGTGTATCCTTGCTAATCAGCTATTTTATATAACCTTCCTCTACTGTTTGTTTTTTCAATATGCTTTAGGATGGCTTGATGAGATGTCAACAACATCTTTTTTTTCCTTTTTCTATTTCTTTCTTTCTGCACTGAACTTGTTTTTTCTGTCCTGATAATGCGTGAATTTGCGAAACGTTTGTAAGTTATCAGTTCACTTGTATTTTAAAGACTCATGGATTTTTAGTTTGGATTGTTTAATTAATAATTCTGAAATAAATTTAAAGTAGAGTGCAGTAAAGTGCCGCATTAGGTGTCTGAAATTGCCAGAACCTTTTCCTTGCATATTAATCAGTGTTATCTGATTTAATTGCATTACTGGCTAAATTGAAAAATACCTTCGTTACACCAATTTTAAATAGTTTCCAATCATTTCAGTGGTTATGCACATTTAGAAATAGCCAATCAGTACTAGTTTGGTATTGCGAATAATTAGAATCCGACCAAACGATCGGTTTCTAATTGAATACTCGAAATATTTGTCCATGATGGAGCTAATAGGCCGAGTATGTTAATTGCTTTTTTGTACATTCCGTCTCTATTCTCTAATTCCTGCCGAAGGAGTGTTCGCTTAGGAATTTGAATGTTGCATATCCACCTCTGGATTATTATTGCGCAATGGAATGCAGTAGGTATAGTAAAGACCTAGTTTGATTATAGAAACTTACCAATATCCAATCTAAGGTGGTTAAATGTTGCTTGCATACTTTTTAGTCTTGATGAAATGTCCCAAAATCAAATAATTCTGTAAACAAATAAGGAATCAAAATTAAGTAAGAGAGTAATCAACAAGTATGTCTTCGTTGGTTTGATACGAGAGGAAAGTCCTGACGATAACCAAAAGAACCCGGTTCAGTTCTAACGAATACTTGGTCGGAGAAGAAAACCCAATGAAGAACTGCTGACACAAGCTGATATAAATCTCAAGTTATGAACGTGAATATATTAGGAAAGGCAGATCATTTAGCTCGAAGTAATTTATCAGAAAGCGACTAAACAACAATGAATACCATATTATTTGGCAAAATATCATGTTGGAGGGCAGAAAATCAGGTCGATAAATCAACTCAACGAAGATGCTGCCGAACTGTGTACAGCAAACTGGAAAGCAGTAGTACAAGATGGAGTTGAAAATGGCTGGTTAAGACAGCCAAAGATCTGCAAGGTCTGTAAGGGCATACATAATAAACATAGAAACTTTTTTTTTTCTTATCCTCTATTTTTCAAGTATTACAATATAAATAAATGTAATATATACATATGTTATATCTTGTTGCTCTGTCCTTATAATGCCCTGTGACAAAGGGCAAAGGCAAAAAAAAAAAAAAAGTTAACGTAGAGCAGAACACCATATTTGACATTTTTTAATATAATATTGTAAAGAAAATAGAAATTTTGGGATATAATTGAATCAAGTGCTGGGATCAAGTGGATACTAAGTCCAAAAAATGTTTTTCTTTTTTATTAATTAATCTTATCGTAGGATCGAGGCTCATCGTGGTGACAAGAAAATATTTATTTTTAAAGAAGACTACTATGCCGAGGACACTTAATGAACCCATTATCTGATAGTTAGCCTTTCATTTAACAGAATGACTAACTCCAACTTCAACTTTATTCACACTCAAACTTTATTCACTATATTTCAACACTGTAATCAAATACTCTGGAATCAACTTACTCACTGTCTGTACAGATATTATAAATTTTCAAAATAGAAATATCACTAAAATGACTTCACTCGAAAATTTTGCAATAGGAGTTAGTCATTTTATCAACTGAAAGCCTTGTTTAAGGCTACTGTGAGCTTTTCAAATTAGCAATTGTACCTATTCGTCGACCGAGGAGTTTTGTTTTGAACTTATTATATTTCTAATTATTCATTGAATTAAGTAACGCGTACGAAATAAAAATAAAAATACAATAGTTTTGTTTAGTACAATCATGAAATTCTATTATTTTTTCAATTGTCCGTCGTATTAAGACAATACGAATACAATAAAGACTTATAATTATTACAACACGTTTTAAAAAAAATCATCAGCTGTTTTCATAATTGGACTTAAAGTTCAATTTATTATAAATTCATATTTACTAAAACATTTAAATGCACATTTCATAGAGGAAATAAATAATTACCGTGATTAATTCGCTCAGTTTAAGGACTGGTGTTTAACTCATTTTCATTTGCATCTGTATTTTTATTTTGATAAATATTTTAACTATGGAAAAGGATTTCTCTATCTATTTCCGAGGTTAACAATTCTTTCACATAAAAGTTTGAGAAAAATATCCTCAGAAATTTTTAGATAAATTTTGCAAATAGATAGGAATTGCTCATTTCTCAAAAAAATGTCGTTTCTTCGTCGAGTTTTCTTACATGAGATCATAAGAACTGATTATTTGTTTATTATTTACTAGTATAATTTTATCAATTATTTTCGTATACTATTTTCCATAGTAGCAGAATTCGAAATATAGCTTTTAGCACAAATAGAACAAAAATGTAAAATTGTTACATACGAGCTATTGCACTAACAGTAGCAATATTTCTTCCAACATCTTGCCAATAGGTCAAATTTAATTTTAAAAACCACTAATTAACATTTTTTTAATGCTTTGTCCTCGAAACAATAAATTTTAAAAAACATTAAATTACAAGTGTTTGTTTCATTAAAATCATTTTATTTTATTTTTATTTTTTATTTTTATTTTTATTTTATTTATTTTTTTTATTCATTGATATTTACAACTGTATTTAAAAAAAATACAACTAGTAAATGTGCACACAGTAATAATATAATCACATGAAAACGCTTGTTGAGAAACTACCCATTGGTAGCACTCTAATAATATATTTACATAAGTATATCACGAGGCCATCTTCTTTTCAGACGCCTCGGAGGGTCATTTTATTAAAGACCTATAGATGAAATATAACTGCAAATTTGTGATTTATTAATTCATGATGGTAGTTATCATATAGAACATATTTTCATAATTGTTTATACGACTTTATGTGTTGCAGCAAACATGAAGTATTCTTCAGGGTCGCCGCTGGATCGTTATTCCACTGTTGTATCCCCATCAAATGTTGACTCAAAAAGAGCCTCAGCTTGCTACCTCCTGATGACTGGAGAGTAACCTTTGTATTCATTCAGTGGTAAACTTTTTTGTAGGAAGAATATATTTCAGAGGTCTATTATCAACCTCTTTAGGAATGGACCTCCAGCCGCTTCGGCGATTCAGATCCTCCGACTAAACTTGTATATCGTGGGAGCCTTCGCAACCCTACATATCCAGCGGCAGATGTCATCTACGCCAATCTCTTTGTTTCTCCATCTTGCAGCATTGTCCAGGAAGGAGCAAGTGCTTTCCGTTAGCTCGCCAGCTGCTTGGACGTCCTCCCCGACGACGGAAGAAGCGGGAGCAACCCCTCGCCTCCGTGTTCCCACGGTCCCACCTGCAGGCTCCCTTGAGTCTTATTATTATTAGACTTAGACAAAGGAGGACTTCGGACTTTTCTCTATGCGCTCATTCATCAGCCTCAGGTCTCCGATTTCAAGTGTTTTCCGTCCGTCTTTTCCACGAGGCTGAAAGGTACATAATGTGATGTACTTTTGTGATTTCTTACTCAATGGTTCAACAGAACCATAAAGGTGTCGGCAAATTTATTGGCATCTAAAGCAAAACAATAACCATTGAATATCTACGTTAGGAATGAGAAAATGAAATAAATTAACTTCTGTATGTCAACAACTATTTATATGAAAACAATTAACACATTCCTATAAAACTAGTTATATTAAGAAAATTTTAAATTATTTTCTAGTCATATTTTGTTAAAAATATCTTCACTGTTTATAGTAATTCTTATTTTATGTTTCTAGTTCATTTTATTTAGATACAGAAAGAATTCGATAATAGATGAATAAAAATAGAATTCTTCTGCTTTAACCATTACCAAACCGGCTTATTTTATAAAATTTCTTAAGTACTTCTTTAAAATTGTCTCTGAATTCAATTAAAAGCTTACAAATAGAAGCAAATTTCTTTTTAAAAATAGGTAATTTGAAATATTGATAAAAATTTCACCTTTCTTCTTAGGTGTTAGGTCCTTAAAGAATATCAAACTATTTACAATTCATCAGTTTTGGAATCCTTTAAAAAACGATGCCCATTCTTTAGTATAATCGCCTCTCATCTTCCGATGTATTTTAATTTTTTGAAAAGTAAATACACCAAATAAAGATTGATATAAACAGTAATTAAAAAAGTAATAGCAGAATATCAACTCTATTTTCAAACTTCACATTCAACAATATAACATACGTACACGACAACTGACTAAATTTCTTGAGCACTAAAATAAAAACAATCCAATACTGGTGTACATCTGGATGTTACCCAGGCGTTGGAGAAGGCAACAGGAACTCAAATTCTTTATCTTATAAGGATATTTCTCATTTCTATAAGGTTCAGAAATTTCAGCCCGTCCAATCTTAGCAAGAGTACCAAAAGAATCAATACTGGCTTTTTTAAAACACATCCCATACACACATGAGATACTTACCAACTTAGGCGTATTGATTGCGTGAAATCTGTGCAGCCTACAATAAGTTTTAACAGTAGATCATGACTGGCCTCACTGAATTTACAAAATTACTTAGTAAAACTTAACACTTAATATATACATAAATGGTACTCGATTTGGAAAATTAAATTAAAGCACAGCTAAGAACAGTATGCAATGTTGTGAATATGAAGTCCACAATTGGTTACGACCAAATTCCTAAACCGGGCACAGAATGTTATTTTAGACTAATATTCATCGAAGAATGATTTGAAGCCCGCACATCAAAATGAAAAGAACAATCTTAAAAAAAACAACTGAAATAACAGTTCTCCCTTTTACCAAATAGTGTAAATTAAAAATGAGGCAGATACTAAATACAAACGTACAACGATTAAAAACCTAAATGTGGACATAAATCTCACAGATTTATGGCTCAGCAAAAAAAACTTTATTCGATCCAAAAGACACTCCTTGATAAGTGAAAAATGGAACTCTAAAACATCATAGGCCAATGCAGCTTACATATCCATTAGGAGGCTAGTTAAAAGGTGCTGGATGAGAGATCTTCTCTCTGAATTAAGGAAGTCAATGTTTGATAAGAAAGAGCTGAAATGTTATGATGAAAGAAAAACATAGTGTCATGAAGCAAATATAGCGTAATTATATTTGCGTTGGTCACAAATTCGAGGAAATCAGGGCTATTAACAGGGGAAATTTAACTTAGAGATGCTTAAAATTAAAGGAAATTTAACTTAGACGTTCAAAGTCGGGAGGATGTGCTGCTGGGTATCACTGCTAGCATACTGCAACATTAATTTTCTTAACCTTATTTGCGGGTTGTCAATCCCATATGGTGACGACCATATGATAAGTGTGAATAAAGATATGAAGTTTATATATAATTAGTAGGAACTAATTATATGACAGGAGTCAGTGGTATATTACTAGCGAAATATTGAAATTTCAGATTTTTTCAATAGATAACGTATAATATAGATGTATAACGTATAGGTATACATGAAATAGGTATATAATGGGGATAGTATATAAATAAACTGCTAGCTACATAGAGGAGCGCTATGATAACACTTGAACATATGACGGGAGCACGTGCGGCAGCTGCGTGGCGGCTGCTAACGGACATATAGGGGTTGTACTGCCTTAAATGTCTTTTGGAACAGTTCACTCTATTTAAGGCTCTTATTGCTCTGTTCCGGAGTCTTTTCCGTCTTTACTGGAAGCTGTTCCAGGAGGGAAACCCGACCGGGGTAAGAGTGCTAGCTATAAGAAGTTGTGACTAGCTTTACCGTACAGGGCGATATTTAATCTAAATTAGGTCATACAATACTGTGGAAATAAACTTTAAAATATGCTTTGAAACATACATATATAAGGACCTATAAGTTAAATTTCCTTCTTAGTGTAATCCAAAATTACCACAATTTTCTCAAATCATTGACCAACACAAATATAATTACGCTATATTTGTTTCAGGAAATTATATTTTTCTTTCGCTATAACATTTCAACTCTTTCCTATCAAGCATTGACTTCCTTAATTCAGGAAGGAGATCTCTCATCCAGCACCTTTTAACTAGCCTCCTAATATATATGTAAGCTGCATTGGCCTATGATGTTTTAGAGTTCCATTTTTCACTTACCAAGGAGTGTATTTTGGATCGAAAAAAGTTTTTTTGCTGAGCAATAAATCTTTGAGACGTATGTCCAGATTTAGGATTTTAATAGTTATGCGTATGTATTTATTATCTGCCTCATTTTTAATTTAGACTGTATGGTAAAATGGAGAACTGTTATTTCATTCGTTTTTTTTAAGATTGTTCTTTTCATTTTGATGTGCGGGCTTCAAATCATTCTTTGATGAATATTACTCTAAAATAACATTCTATGCCCGGTTTAGGAATTTGGTCGTAACCAATTGTGGACTTCATATTCACAACATTGCATACTGTTCTTAGCTGTGATTTAATTTAATTTTCCAAATTGAGTACCATATATATATATATATATATGTATTAAGTAAGGCCAGTAATAATCTACTGTTAAAACTGTATTGCCAGTATTGGTTCTTTTGGTACTCTTGCTAAGATTAGACGGACTGAAATATCTGAATCTTATATAAATGAGAAATATCTTTCGAAGATAAAGAATTTGAGTCCCTAAATTAATTAAGAAATATTTTTACACCTAAAATTTAAATATCATATTAAGGGTTTGGTTTACTATTATTTCTTGCATAACCTAATTAACATGGTAACATCTTATCTGTTACCGGAGGTATAGGCAAAAGACACCATGTCAATTTTTTTATTAAATAATTTATTAACTATTGTAACCAAGATTAAGGAAGCACTGAAAAAAATAATAGAACTCTTCTCTCTTTTGTTTCCTGTGATTAATTATTGATTCCACCTTTAGCATGTGCATGTGCTCTTATATATTATATCTTGACTATCGTTTATTGATGTTTATATGTGGACTGCCATATTATTGTATATAGAATAAGTATCTTTTTTTGTTATCTTTATCATTTTCCTATTTATCTTTATTGTATATAGCAATTATGTTTAAATTCTATCTTTTTTCTTTTATTTTATTTCTTTTGTTTTTACATAGTATTAATTCTGTAAATATTTCTTTCTGTAAATAGATCTCTTGACCTTTTTTACTGCTTTATAAAAATATCCAACCTAACCCCTCCTCACCTGAGCTAGATTGGTAGGATACATATTTAATCATGGTCAAATAATGGGTAAGTACCTTACATTTTCTGGAAAGGCTGGTAAAGCCAGGCACCCAACAAGTAAAAATTCCGATAGAAAATTATATTTATTAAAACTTATTTTATCATATTTTTATTTATCCTTTTTTTTTGGTCATACTATGAAAAAAATTATAATAGTTCAAAGAATTAAAACAATCAAAGTTATTAAAAATTGGTTCCCCAAACAAATTCAAAAATGCAACATGGTGTCCTTTTCCTAGGAGATACAGATATAAATTATAGGTATAAGATATATATATATTTTTTTTTGTTATCATGAATAATTTTATCAACATTTTTTTTTAGTGAAATTTACAACTATATAAAATGATAAATACAACAAGTAAATATGAAATAAGTAACATGATATGTACAACACGAAGAGAAACTACCTATTGGTAGCACTCCAATTACATTTCTGTATTAGAAGATCCCGAGGCCATATTCTTTTCAGACGCATTCTTATCAGAAATAGAAGAGAAATCAAGGTGGAAACAAGAGAGTACGGATGGTTCAGAAGTTTATTATGTAAGGACAGGTATCTGGATTGAGCTAAATCGGAAACATGTGGTACATTAAGGTCGTTATGGATAATTTTATTTGTGACAAAGTAGGGAGCATTGAGGAAGCTTATCAAAATTAAAATTTGTATCTGTGTACAGTGATGTACATATATACTATCAAAAATAAAATTACTTTTCTCAAATCACTCTTTTACCGTATTCATTTCTTCAATTAAACTGAGCGGGAAAATAATTTACAGATATAAAACATATTTCTTTGTAGGAACGAAATTCTTAATAATTTCTTGAAAAAATCTTTGCTTCGAGCTGCTTGTCCCGCCTATATAAACATATCTTCATATCCCGAGATTTGGACTGACCAGTTTCTGTAAGCAGTTCTTTATTGGTCTTTCTCATGGGTCAGTACATTGATCCCAGATCGCACCGATTATCGTGTAGCGCAATTTCTCGTCAATGTGTTCAATTATCTTCTCTAGAATGCTCTTTGAGTCAATAATTAGAGTTGTTAATAATAAGTTTAATTATTTATTGTATTTAATTACACTTAACTAATTAAAATTAACAAATTAATAAGTGCTAGTTAGAGACCAAGTATATAAAGTATAATATATCAT